CTGCTACTTACACTAGTGGATGGTACCACTGTGATCCCGCCTCCTCCTGCTACTTACACTAGTGGATGGTACCACTGTGATCCCGCCTCCTCCTGCTACTTACACTAGTGTATGGTACCACTGTGATCCCGCCTCCTCCTGCTACTTACACTAGTGTATGGTACCACTGTGATCCCGCCTCCTCCTGCTACTTACACTAGTGGATGGTACCACTGTGATCCTGCCTCCTCCTGCTACTTACATAGTGTATGGTACACTATGATCCCGCCTCCTCCTGCTTTCTTACACTAGGTATGGTACCCACTGTGATCCCGCCTCCTCCTGCTACTTACACTAGTGTATGGTACCACTGTGATCCTGCCTCCTCCTGCTACTTACACTAGTGTATGGTACCACTGTGATCCCGCCTCCTCCTGCTACTTACACTAGTGTATGGTACCACTGTGATCCCGCCTCCTCCTGCTACTTACACTAGTGTATGGTACCACTGTGATCCCGCCTCCTCCTGCTACTTACACTAGTGTATGGTTCCACTGTGATCCCGCCTCCTCCTGCTACTTACACTAGTGTATGGTACCACTGTGATCCCGCCTCCTCCTGCTACTTACACTAGTGGATGGTACCACTGTGATCCTGCCTCCTCCTGCTACTTACACTAGTGGATGGTACCACTGTGATCCTGCCGCCTCCTGCTACTTACACTAGTGTATGGTACCACTGTGATCCCGCCTCCTCCTGCTACTTACACTAGTGTATGGTACCACTGTGATCCTGCCTCCTCCTGCTACTTACACTAGTGGATGGTACCACTGTGATCCCGCCTCCTCCTGCTACTTACACTAGTGGATGGTACCACTGTGATCCTGCCTCCTCCTGCTACTTACACTAGTGGATGGTACCACTGTGATCCTGCCTCCTCCTGCTACTTACACTAGTGGATGGTACCACTGTGATCCTGCCGCCTCCTGCTACTTACACTAGTGGATGATACCACTGTGATCCTGCCTCCCCCTGCTACTTACATAGTGGATGGCACCACTGTGATCCTGCCGCCTCCTGCTACTTACACTAGTGGATGGTACCACTGTGATCCTGCCTCCTCCTGCTATTTACACTAGTGGATGGTACCACTGTGATCCTGCCTCCTCCTGCTACTTACACTAGTGGATGGTACCACTGTGATCCCGCCTCCTCCTGCTACTTACACTAGTGGATGGTACCACTGTGATCCTGCCTCCTCCTGCTACTTACACTAGTGGATGGTACCACTGTGATCCTGCCTCCTCCTGCTACTTACACTAGTGGATGGTACCACTGTGATCCTCCCTCCTCATGCTACTTACACTAGTGGATGGTACCACTGTGATCCTGCCTCCTCCTGCTACTTACACTAGTGTATGGTACCACTGTGATCCCGCCTCCTCCTGCTACTTACACTAGTGTATGGTACCACTGTGATCCTGCCTCCTCCTGCTACTTACACTAGTGGATGGTACCACTGTGATCCCGCCTCCTCCTGCTACTTACACTAGTGGATGGTACCACTGTGATCCTGCCTCCTCCTGCTACTTACACTAGTGGATGGTACCACTGTGATCCTGCCTCCTCCTGCTACTTACACTAGTGGATGGTACCACTGTGATCCTGCCGCCTCCTGCTACTTACACTAGTGGATGATACCACTGTGATCCTGCCTCCTCCTGCTACTTACACTAGTGGATGGCACCACTGTGATCCTGCCGCCTCCTGCTACTTACACTAGTGGATGGTACCACTGTGATCCTGCCTCCTCCTGCTATTTACACTAGTGGATGGTACCACTGTGATCCTGCCTCCTCCTGCTATTACACTAGTGGATGGTACCACTGTGATCCCGCCTCCTCCTGCTACTTACACTAGTGGATGGTACCACTGTGATCCTGCCTCCTCCTGCTACTTACACTAGTGGATGGTACCACTGTGATCCTGCCTCCTCCTGCTACTTACACTAGTGGATGGTACCACTGTGATCCTCCCTCCTCATGCTACTTACACTAGTGGATGGTACCACTGTGATCCTGCCTCCTGCTACTTACAATAGTGTATGGTACCACTGTGATCCCGCCTCCTCCTGCTACTTACACTAGTGGATGGTACCACTGTGATCCTGCCTCCTCCTGCTACTTACACTAGTGGATGGTACCACTGTGACCCCGCCTCTTGCTACTTACACTAGTGGATGGTACCACTGTGATCCCGCCTCCTCCTGCTACTTACACTAGTGGATGGTACCACTGTGATCCCGCCTCCTCCTGGTACTTACACTAGTGGATGGTACCACTGTGATCCCGCCTCCTCCTGCTACTTACACTAGTGGATGGTACCACTGTGATCCTGCCTCCTCCTGCTGCTTACACTAGTGTATGGTACCACTGTGATCCCGCCTCCTCCTGCTACCTACACTAGTGGATGGTACCACTGTGATTCTGCCTCCTCCTGCTACTTACACTAGTGGATGGTACCACTGTGATCCTGCCTCCTCCTGCTACTTACACTAGTGGATGGTACCACTGTGATCCTGCCTCCTCCTGCTACTTACACTAGTGGATGGTACCACTGTGATCCTGCCTCCTCCTGCTACTTACACTAGTGGATGGTACCACTGTGATCATGCCGCCTCCTGCTACTTACACTAGTGGATGGTATCACTGTGATCCTGCCTCCTCCTGCTACTTACACTAGTGGATGGTACCACTGTGATCCTGCCGCCTCCTGCTACTTACACTAGTGTATGGTACCACTGTGACCCTGCCTACTCCTGCTACTTACACTAGTGGATGGTATCACTGTGACCCCGCCTCCTCCTGCTACTTACACTAGTGTATGGTTCCACTGTGATCCTGCCTCCTCCTGCTACTTACACTAGTGGATGGTACCACTGTGATCCTGCCTCCTCTGCTACTTACACTAGTGTATGGTACCACTGTGATCCTGCCTCCTGCTACTTACACTAGTGGATGGTACCACTGTGATCCCGCCTCCTCCTGCTACTTACACTAGTGGATGGTACCACTGTGATCCTGCCTCCTCCTGCTACTTACACTAGTGAATGGTACCACTGTGACCCCGCCTCCTGCTACTTACACTAGTGGATGGTACCACTGTGATCCTGCCTCCTCCTGCTATTTACACTAGTGGATGGTACCACTGTGATCCCGCCTCCTCCTGCTACTTACACTAGTGGATGGTACCACTGTGATCCCGCCTCCTCCTGCTACTTACACTAGTGGATGATACCACTGTGATCCTGCCTCCCCTGCTACTTACACTAGTGGATGGCACCACTGTGATCCTGCCGCCTCGTGCTACTTACACTAGTGGATGGTACCACTGTGATCCTGCCTCCTCCTGCTATTTACACTAGTGGATGGTACCACTGTGATCCTGCCTCCTCCTGCTACTTACACTAGTGGATGGTACCACTGTGATCCTGCTCCTCCCGCTTTTACACTAGTGTATGGTACTACTGTGATCCTGCCTCCTCCTGCTACTTACACTAGTGGATGGTACCACTGTGATCCTCCCTCCTCATGCTACTTACACTAGTGGATGGTACCACTGTGATCCTGTCTCCTGCTACTTACAATAGTGTATGGTACCACTGTGATCCCGCCTCCTCCTGTTACTTACACTAGTGGATGGCACCACTGTGATCCTGCCTCCTCCTGTTACTTACACTAGTGGATGGTACCACTGTGACCCCGCCTCCTGCTACTTACACTAGTGTATGGTATCACTATGATCCCGCCTCCTCCTGATATTTACACTAGTGTATGGTACCACTGTGATCCCGCCTCCTCCTGCTACTTACACTAGTGGATGGTACCACTGTGATCCTGCCTCCTCCTGCTACTCACACTAGTGGATGGTACCACTGTGATCCTGGCTCCTCCTGCTACTTACACTAGTGGATGGTACCACTGTGATCCTGCCTCCTGCTACTTACACTAGTGGATGGTACCACTGTGATCCCGCCTCCTCCTGCTACTTACACTAGTGGATGGTACCACTGTGATCCTGCCTCCTGCTACTTACACTAGTGGATGGTACCACTGTGACCCCGCCTCCTCCTGCTTCCACTCACCTGACTGCAGTATATAATCCACTTCTCCGACCATGCGCTGTACTTTCTACAAGACTGATGGACTGAACACATCGATTCCAGGCTGAGGGACTGATCACCTCAAACGCCTTCTCTCCTTACCCCTCTCTGCTTTGTACTGGACTGAAGAAGCCACTGTGTGGCGAAACGTTTCCTTAATAATGATTCCCATATGTTCGATAAGTGTCTCACTCTTCGACTTGTCGGTTTTCAAACTATTCATCACAAACCTTGTTCCGCAACCTCTCTTTATCGCCACTAGCCTATTTCATTAATTAGCTTTCTTTAGTTAAATCAGGCGTAACGGAAACAATACGAAGTACCCACACAACAGTAGAAAAGAGCACTTTATTTTAACGACGTTTCGCTAAGATAGAGATCTTTGATCTCGAAGCTTTATCAAATTAAAGCCTCTTGCTTTAGGCAAGTGTTGTTATTGCAGTGTTCTATGCTAGTTTTCTCTCTTAGCTGCTTCTGTTATGTCATAACGCTGGTGAGGGGCTCTTGATCTAGGGAACTGGATCTGTGCTCCAGTTCCCTGAATTGAGCCTGAATTCAACCTTCTACATCCCCCCCCCACATGCGCTGCATAATCCTATGGGTTTAGCGCTTCCCCCTTGATTATAATAATATAATGTCATAAGTAAGCCAATGGCTTTTTTTTTTATTGTGATGTCCGTGCACTTCTAACAAGACTGCTGTTGAATGATAGATAATTAATGTGTTTCCTTACTTGAGTTACCCTACCTTAGTGGGACATGGCCTTTAAGATCTGAAAAAATACTGAACGGGTCATCTGTTGGCAGCGGCCCACGTCATTTTTTTTTTTTACTCTGATACACAGACTAACGATACATACCTTGATCTTTGGTGTACTCCGCCAGACATGACGTGGAAGAGATGATTCTGGGGGTGTGAGACCAGGTGAGGTGACTGGTAACATGCTGAGGCTCTGACGTGACTCCTGCCGTAGCTCGAGCCAACAAAAGTAGGGCCAGGAGGAATAGGAAGGTGCAGGGGGGGTAAGCACCCGCCCTAACTACCACCTCCACCACCCTGCTAAACTCCTTCATCTCTACACCATCCTGCAGAGAAGAAACAATGTCTATGAGTCAGTGCCTAAGCGTATCGTAACAGAAATACTGTAATAAAGTTTACCTGTGACCGGTCTAAGGCCGGTCTTCCCTCTGTTGACAGCCTGGTCAACTAGGCTGTCTGTGCTAGAGACCCACAGTAATAATAGCACAGTATCATTAATAATAATAATAATTGTGTGTTTTCAAAGCTCATGCATCATCCTGGAAAAAAAAATTATTGTTAAAAATATTCTAAAAACAATGAATCGTTTAACACCAATTAATAATAATAATAATAATAATAATAATAATAATAATAATAATAATAATAATAATAATAATAATAATAATAATAATAATGATAATAACAATATAATATAATAATAAAAATATGTATAAGACTAATAATAATAAAGATAAATAATAAATATAATAATTAATAATAATTTAGGTAATCAGATATAACAATTCTATCAAGTAGTAATAACAACAACAGTAATTCTTCTCTCTCTCTCTCTCTTCCTCTCATTACTCTTCCTTCTCTCCTCTCCCCTCTCTTCACTCTCGTCTCTCTCTCCTCTCCTCTCTCCCGCTATCTCTGCCCTCCAAACTGTTTCCCTCTCCCCTCACCCAACCACTGCTTCCCTAACATCTCTCTTCAACAAACTGGCTTCCCTCACCCCTCTCTTCAACAAACTGGCTTCCCTCTCCCCTCACCAACACAACTGACTTCCCTCTCCCACTCATCTTCTAACAAACTGGCTTCCCTCTCACCTCTCACCAACACCGCTTCCCTCTCCTCCTCCCAACACACTGGCTTCCCTCTCCCTCTCTCTCAACAAACTGCCTTCCCTCTCCCCTCTCACCCCAACACTGGCTTCCTCTCCCCTCACCCAACACACTGGCTTCCCTCTCCCCTCTCTCTCAACACGCTGGCTTCCCTCTCCCCTCTCACCCAACACACTGATTTCCCTCTCCCTCTCACCCCACACACTGGCTTCCTCTCTCCTCACCACTGCTCCCCTCTTTCCTTTCCATCTCCACACACTGGTCTTCTCTCTCTCTCTCACCTCCACTCCCTGCCAGGTCTAGAGTATGACGCAACAATCAATATGGAGCGAGTGGGGGGTGTAACCTGTTGGCTGCTTCCTCTCCCTCTCCCTCTCTTTTTATGTACTCACTTAAAGGGTGAGAGTCTGAGAGTGATTCAATCTGTCTGTCTGTCTGTCTCTCTCTCTCTTCTTCTCTCTTCTCTCTCTCTCTCTCTCTCTCTCTCTCTCTCTATCTCTCTCTCTCTCTCTCTCTCTCTCTCTCTCTCTCCCCAGTTTGTTACGTGAGAACAATACGGGAGACTGACTTCAGCTTCGTCTGAAAATAGGCACCAGCAGACTCCGAACGATTTGTTAATGGGCCACATCTTTGCCTAAGGTCATCCAAACACTCCCCCCTCCTCAGAGACACTCTAACCATCCTCTAACTACAACCCCCATTAATCTTGCTACCCATACCCAAACCTATCACCCATCCCTTTATGGATCTTCTAAAGTTCTAAACCATCCCTCCAGGCCTTATGCAGCGTGACTTTGTAAATGGTCCAAGTCGGACCGAAACGTCGTCGTAAGCTCCTCTGTCCTATGCGGAGTTATTTGTGTATTGTTCCAGTCACGATATTTTTTTTGTTCGCTATGCTTTTTCTGTCCATGACTCACACCTAGATAATACACAACAATCCTTAATTTAGGTACAAATGGATAGTTTTCATCAGATAACCTGGGTGCGGACCTTCCAAGTACTGTGTTATCTGTCCAGCCCATGTACTCTCATCCTCCACCTATGATCCCCAGACCAGGGAGGTGATGTTTGTAAACAAGCCGCCCCACCTCAATGGCAGTGTTGCCATAATACCTTATAACCAGAAATGTGAATTTCACACATTGGTGAGAGCGAACCTTCATGCGGATATATATGAGGTCTTCAGTGGGGGCAGCATCGGACAACACTATGATGTTTAACGACGACAAATTTCAAGTATCAATGGAAGAATAGAGGAAATAAAGACCGAAAGATAGAGTATAGGAGAAAGTCAACTTATACGTACATGTGCGAGCCTTGGGAGTGATGATGTCAGATCTCACATTCAAAGATCACAATAATTGTGCCAGTACTACAGCAAGGAAAATGGGAGATTGGATAACCAGACCGTTCAAGGCACAAAATGCTGAATTCATAATGACAATCTTATGTCACTTGTTCTCCCCAGCCTAGAATACTGCTGTATACTAACGCTGCATAAGGCCTGGAGGGATGGTTTAGAACTTTAGGAGATCCATAAAGGGATGGGCAGGGCGAGACATACGGGCGAGTCTCCTTACACCCACTGTCCCTGTTAGCCTTCAGTAAAAAGGTACCTGAGAGTTAGTCGATCGTTGTGGGTCGCATCCTGGGGAATGATCAAGCACTACAAACTACTAAGTAACTCGAATGTCTCTCAAATGACCTAATGATGCACTTTCTGTGCCCAAAGTACACGATACAAGAAAACCTGAACCTCCAGGTACCTTCAAGGCAGGAGAGAATGTTGAGCTGGAAAACGAAGAGAGAACTTTCCCTGCCTGTATACATTCAATCAAACATCGAAACTACTGGAAATCTTTTTGAACTGTACTTATTGAAACGGAGGAGAGAAAGACACATCATAATTTACATCTGGAAAATCCTGGAGGGACTGGTCCCAAATTTGCTCACTGAAAACACTCCGTATAAAAGCAAGGCTTGGCAGACAATACAGAATACCTCCAATCAGAAGCAAGGAAGCGACGCGTACACGAAGAGAGAACGTGATGTGTCAGAGGTCTGCGATGTTTCAACGTCCTCCCTCCGTACGTAAGAGGAATCACAAACAGGCCCCTGGTTGTCTTCGAGAAGAAACTTGACAAGTTCTTCAAATCAGTTCCTGAGCAGTTGGGCAGTGATTTGTACGTTGGACTGCGTGGAGTCAACAGCAACAGCCTGGCTGATAACTGATCCTGTCAGCTGGTCCAGTAAGTGTCGAATAGCCAATGCAGGTAAGCCTGTACCTACCTTGGCGCCTGACACTGGTGGACAATATGGCCAGTGGGTCTACAATCCTCCTGCAGATCTGGTCTGGGACCAACATGAGGGGCGTTGACCCTCAAAGCATTCATTTCTTTGGGACTGAAGTACCTCTGGCCTTTAGTATCTCCAATAACAACAATAACGATATTATTATTATTATTATTATTATTATTATTATTATTATTATTCACCTTCGGCATTGCTGGCTCGTGCGCCCTCTGTAAGATATACCTGTGACAGGTTTTGAAAAATTTTCAACCCTGACAGCCCGGCCTGGGGCTACTTTTCTGTTGACTGCTTCTTCCACCAGGCTGTTGCTGTTGGCAGCCCACTGACCCACATATCTATAACAACCTGTTTGATCTGACACTTCAACGAGGCAGTGGTCTAGTTTTCTTTTGAAGACTTCTACTCTTGCTCCGGGAATATTTCTGACATCTGCTGGTGGTAGGCTGAATAGTCTGGGACCAAGGATGTTCATACAATGTTTTCTCATTTTGGGCACCTGGAGTCTGGAATTTACCTGAATCGCTTTCGGAAGTCGCCGTCCCCGCGGCCCCGTCCCAGACCGGTTTGATCAATCAAGCTGTTAATGCCCGCTACCCGCCGTCCAATGTACGTACCTAGAGTCGATTCCGAAGGAGGAGGCTACTGCCTGTTTCGTACACAACACCCTGGCTGATCGTAAGTAGTAATTTCTCAGTGCAGGTTTAGGACCAATCCCTCCAGTATCTTCTAGGTGTAGATCAGGATGTATCTTTCTCGCCTATATTCTAAGGAGTACAGTTCTAGGGACTTCCAGCTCTCCCGGTAGTATATGTGCTTAACTGAGTTTATATGAGCCTTGAAGGTGGCTGTTAGTATACAGCAATATTCCAGCCTAGTGAGAATGAATGACCTGAAGAATATCATCATTGGCTTGGCAATACTTGTTTTGAAGGTTCTAGTTATCCAACATATCATTTTTCTTGTAGTTGTGATAATGATATTGTTGTGTTCCTGGAGAGTTAGATCTGACATTATCACTCCCAGGTCTCTCACATCTGACTTACGTTGTATTGAGTGATTCGAGTTTGTCTTGTACTATAAACTCGTTTTTATTTCCTGCATTCTTCCGTGTCGTAGTAACTGGAATTTGTCCTCACTGAACATCATATTGTTGTGAGTGACCTACTGGAAGACTGTTTATATCAGCCTGGAAGCTCGTTTGTATCTACTTGTCAGTGGTCTGTTATACACTTCCTTCCTTATCTCTCACCTCTGATACCTTTGATAAGTTTCGAGAGTCTTACTACTATCTTAGCCCGGCCATGGGCCAGACTCGTCTGGTGCTTGCCTGGCCTAGCAGCAAATTATGAAGGAGCTAGCCTGAAGTCTAAGCTCCATCACAGACTTAATTAAGACAAACTCCTCAAGTATCGTGCATATATGTAAATATTATCAGGTATCTCTCTCCTTCACCCCAGAGAGTACATTCCAAGCACCTTGAGGTGTTCACGTTAAAAAAGTTTTATCGACTCTAAATTGTAGGTAAAAACTCTTTGTACCTTCTCAGCTCTGACCACTCCTGCCTTGAACAGTTATTAACACCGATGATTTGATTAATGTCATCACTGGCATTATTTCTCTTATTTTGAAAGTTCTCATTATCCATCCTATCATCTTTCTGACCTTCGTGGAATTTGCTTTACTGTCTTCTCTAAATCACAGGTCATCTGCTGATATTATACCAAAGTCTTCAACATTTCCTTTCCTTCTATGAGATGACGTTCCAGTGTTCCGTTCTTCATTCCTTCTATGAGATGACGTTCCAGTGTTCCGTTCTTCATTCCTTCCATATCTCAGTACTTGGAATGTGTCACCACCGAACATTATCTTAGTTTTCAATTGTAATAAAGTTGGTAGAATTACCG